CTGTGTGTATGTCTAAAATTAGGCCAAGATGAAGTAAGTATTGCAGCATGACCATGCCCCATGGGGGAGAGGATGTGCTTTCTTCTTCACCTTCTGCTTCTCTCTGGCAAGTTCACATGGCTTCTGGCAAATTAAAAAATAAACAAGAAAAAAGAAGTAGCTCTACTTTATAATAATTATCAAGGATTCAAGTAGAGTTGTGATGCAGAGTAAATATATATTAGGGGCCAGCCCCATAGTACCATGGTTAAGCGTAGTGCATTGGAAGCTGGATCCTACATGATCAACCACAATTTAAGTTCTAGCCTTGGAGACTTGGAAAACACATCATGCACATGCCCTCTGGCAATTATGTGTGTGTGTGTGTGTGTGTGTATTTTTTTAAAGTGTATCAAGGACTGGTAGGTGGCATGGTGGTTAGGGGCTCTGGACTCCCACATGGCCAACTGTGGTTCAAGTCCTGGACCTGGTGGCTTGCTTTCTTGCTTTGTCCCTCTCTGGTCAAATTAAAAGAAAAAAATAATAAATAAATAAAGTTAAATAAACTTTAAAAAAAAATCTTATTTAACTTTATTTATTCATTTATTTAAATTTGACCAGGGAGGGACAGAGTGAGCATGCGAGTGAGCGAGAGAGAGGGAAAGTGAGAAAGCAAGCCCCCAAGTCTGGGACTTGAACCACAGTCAGTCATGTGGGAGTCCAGTGCCCTTAACCACCACACCATCTGCTTTCTCTCTGTCAATAAAATAATTCTTTAAATAAATAAATAAATAAAGTATATCACAAGGTTGTTCTGAGAAGGTGACTCAGAGCTCATTTGAAGAGACTCACGGGTACTTTTCTCTCCAAGTTTTAGGCCAACTGAAAAATAAGACAAAAAAAGTAACAGAATCAAAATTCATAGCACTTTAATTACTGACAAAGTGTAGGTGAGAAGCTGGAGCTAGTGTAAGGGCGAAGAGACAGACTGTGAACTGTCATGTGGTTTGTGTGATGGACGTAACAGCTTCCGTCCCAAATGCTCTCATGCATGTGACGTTGATATTCCCATCGAGTGTCCTTCCCTTTGAATCTGGGTGGGCCTGGAACTCTGGTGGAAGCGAGGCTATACAACTCTGAAACTTGGCCATAGACGACCGGACAGTGTCTCCTGGCTCCTCGAGACTCTTCCTCTTAGCACACAGCCACTCGTGAAGGAGCCCAGGCAGCCCGTGGAGAGGCCCACATGGAGAAGGACCTTGCTCCAACTCAGGCCTGCATGGGCTCCTGCACAGAGAGTGGAACTTGCCTGCCGGGAAACGGAGCCATTTTGTAAGTGACTGCTTCAACCTTCTATTCTCCTATCAGGTTACCCCATGAAATGCCTCACGGAGCCAAGATGAGCTGTTTCTAGTGAGCTCTACCCAGATTGCACATTTGTGAGTAAGTTAATGACTTAAAAAATATTTATTTCATTTTATTTATTTATTTATTATTCTTATTCTTTAATTTGGCTGAAAAGAAACAGGGAGAATGAGGAAGCAAGCCACCAGGTCCAGGGCTTGCACCACAGTCAGCCCCATGGGAGTCCAGTGCCTTAGCCACCATGCTACCTGCCAGCTCCTAATGACTTTTTTTTTTTAGAGTTTTTTTTAGAGAGATTTTTGCCATAAGGCACATGCAGTCTACAGAGAGCGACAGACAGAGGGAGAGAAATCACCGTTCCCCAGGGGGATGGCTACACTGCAGTCCCTTTTCCTTCATTCTTTTGGGATTTGAGGCATGCATGCACACACGCCCAGCATGAGTTTTTTGTTTTTTGGGTTTTTTTTACTTATTTAATTTTATTTATTCAGGTATTTTAATTTCACCAGAGAGAGACAGAGAGAGAGAGAGGGAAAGTGAGAAAACAAGTCACCAGGTCCCGGACTCAAACCATGGTCAGCCATGTAGGTGCCTTAACCACCTTGCCACCTGCTGGCCCTGCAGTGCATTTTAAGCTCCTGGGTCTGGGACTTGAATGTTAGTCAACTTCATGAGAGTCCAGCAACGTAACCATTATGCCATTACTGACCCCACTAATGACTTATTTTTAAACCACTAAATTTGGATGTGTGTATATATTAATAATTCATATGCTAATTTTCCCAGTCTAGACCGGTTGAACAATCTATCTTAGGGAAAGCTTGGGTATGTAAAACAGATACACTCCTACGTCTATTTCAAAAGGGGAAAAGAAAAAAAATCTAAATACCCTGGTTTTTTTTTTTCTTCTTCTTTTTAGAGAGATTTTTGCTATAGGGGGCATGTAATCGCCAGAGGGACAGAAATAGAAAGCAAGAAATCACTCCCCCTCTCCCAGGGGGAATGGCCATGCTGCAGTCCCTTCTCTTCCATTCTCCTCCTGAGATTCTGGACATGCACACACACATGCCTGGCACGAGTTCCAAGCCACTGGGTTTGAGACTGGAACTATGGTTAACTATGTGGGAGTCCAGCAATGTAACCATTATGCCATCTGCTGGTCACAGTTTTCTGGGTTACTTTCTTTCTTTAAGACAGGGTTTGACCTTTTTTCTCAGCTAGAGCCATAGGCAGTTACCGCCATACTTGGCTCTTTTTTGGACAGGGCCTTGTTCTGTTACCCTGTCCAGCCTGGAGCTCATGATCCTCCTTCTTCAGTCTCCTGAATAGCTGGGATTACAAGGCAGGCACCAGTGTTCCTCTTTAAATTCTGTTTTTCTTTTATTGTCTGACCCGGGGGGACAGTCGAACAGGTTTCCTGAGGGAAGGAGTGAGAGCCGGGACAAGCGGCGCAGTGTTACAACACAGAGACGACACAGTGTCTTCAGGGTCATCCATTTATTGTGGGCAGCACGGTACAGCATGGAGACGACACAGTGTCACAGCTCTTCAGGGTCATCCGGAGACAATGTGGTGTTACAACTCTTCAGGGTCTTCCGGGTCGTCTATCGTCTGGCGATTGTGGGCCAGGGATCGTGGTTATATACATGTTGGTGGGCCGTGATTGGTTGTAAAAGGTGGGTTATGATTGGTTGTTGTTGGACCAATCATGAGGTGCCAGATATACAAATCTGAGGGATTCTAGTGGCCAATCAGTATGGTTTTGAAGGTGAGGTTTTTGAAGGGAAGCCAATCATGGCTTTTGGCATTGTGTAATTGTTTGCTTTCTGAGAAACCGGCAATATTCATTCGCTGGTGCGCAGTCTCCCACATTTTATAGAGGTTTTTGCCTCAGGGCATGTGTGCTTGCCACACCGCATTCCCTTCTCCATTCTCCTCCCGGATCTTGGGTACACGTCCACATGCATGGGGTGTGAGTTTCAAGCCACTGAATCTGGGACTCAAACTGCTGTTGGTCATGCAGGAGTCTAGGGGACATAGCCCCTATGCCATCTGCTGGCTCGCCTGGCTAAAGATTTTTTTAATTTAATTTTATTTATTATCATAATCTTTATATTACATTGAATCACATATATCTTTACAGTGTATTACGTTTCTTTTTCCAGCATGATTACCATGCATATCAGTCAAGACAAAGACATTACTATCCACATCATCATCATCAAATAGCTTTTCATCATTTTTTCAGATTATTATTTATTCTCATTATTTTTTAAAGCATTCAATCACTATATATCAATCATTTGGCTTGTATAAAGAATTTACCTAACATAAACTACTTCTCAGACCAGAGCAGTTGAGAATACTGTACATGCTATCATCAACAGGTAATAAGCCGTTTCTGTGTCCCACTGTCATGCCTCTCTATTTGTTCTCTTGCTATTCTACTCTATACTCTTCCCTTCTCCCCCTGCACTGTCTTCAGCATCCATAACTATTTTCACCGCTTTTATGCCCTCCAATATTTCAATCTCTACCATAAAGTGTGGATAGTTGGTCCCTGGCTAAAATTTTATTGTGGCCATTTGAGCTGGGTTATTGGTATCTTGTTATTTGAAGCCCGTGAAGTATTTAACATTATCACCTTGAGGCCATCCTCATCCATTAATAGTAGTGAAAGACGGGGCCGGCAGGTGGTGTGGTGGTTAGTGCCGCTGGACTCCCACATGGCCAACCACTGTTTGAGTCCTGGACCTGGTGGCTTGCTTTCTCACTTTCCTCTCTCTCGCTCTGTCCCTCTGATCAAATAATAAATAAAGAGCTTAAAAAAAATTGTTTAACAGTACGGAAAGTAAAAAGTGTAGCCAAGAAAACAGTCTGGGGTACGCAGTGCTTAAGGTAGGAGAGGAGGACGCCCCCAAGGAAAACCGAGCAGTTTCTGAGGACGGTGGTCAGACCTGGAGTGGGGAGTGGGCGGAGGAGAAAGCTGGGAGTGGAGAGCCTTCTTGGAGGGAGCAGGGAGCAGGGAGCGTGTCCCACGCTCACCACCAGGACCTCCGGCGAGCCTGTCCGCCCCCCGCCCGGGCCGGCCCCATTTATAGGACCCAGTCCCGGCCACCAACCTGTGGTGGTGTTTGTGCCTAGAACCGCCCGCCATGCCCGCCGACCTCAGCGGCACATGGAACCTGCTCAGCAGCGACAACTTCGAGGGTTACATGCTGGCCCTAGGTAAGGCGGGGAGCCCGCGCCCGCAGCGGCGGTGGAGGGAGCTGGGCGCAGTGGGCGCAGCGCGACTTGCGGCGGGCGAAGGCGGCCAGTTCTGGCCTGTCCGTCCCGGGCCCGCTGGTCAATCTTCCCGCCCGCCGCCTGTCATTAGCTCCTCTGACCATCCGTCCATCCATCTTCCTGTCCCCTCATCCCCGTCATCTACTGGTCGCCTCCCCTCCTCCTGTTCTTCGTCTCCCGCCCGTCCACTTCGCGCCCGCTCACCAGCTGTCCCCAGGCCTCCCAGCCCGCTCGTCCGGCTTCCCAGCGTGTCGGTCTCCCTGCCTGCGCGTCCCCAGGCCCTCAGGGCCGCCGTCGGCGGGCGCATCCTCGTTCGCCTCTACCAACCCTTGTCCCACTGCGGACTTCCAAGGCGGTGGCGCTGGCAGCTCCAGTCACTTCGAGGGACCCTGGAAGGCGGGACTAGGGTCCAGGACGGAGAGGAGGACCCGGGGGTTCAGCACAGGGCCCTCGCAGGGAGAGCCCCCCACACCGCAGCCCGCAAAGCCCGGGAGGTGTCGGGCCGCAGCCCTGCGAGTGCTCTGGCGCCGGCTGGGGTGTGGGAACCTGGTACAGGTCCTTAGGCGCTTTCTGACTTCCCCTTTCCGGGAGGCTAGAGGGCAGAAAGGAACCCAGACCTCTGAGATGCTGCGAGCAGCCCCCAACCCTTCCCAGAGCCTGGAGGGGCGACGCGGTGCGCTCTCCTCTCCGGAGGTGGGCCGCCGCAGCATTACAGATTAGCTACAGAACCCTACTGCCCCAGCCCCCCTCAGAGCTCAGGGAACAGCCTGGTCTGCAGGCCCTGGGGAGGACAGGGCGCGTGGGAAAAACAAGGTGGCAGCCAGGGCGCAGGGCAGAGGGTGGGTGGGGGAGCAGGGGCGAAAGCGGGTGTCCTAGTTTCCCAAAGAGCCTCTTGAATTTGTTCCAGGCGTAGTGTGGCCCCCTCCTTGGGTCCTTGTGCACTGATGCCCTTTGTCCTGCCCTTAGTCGCATTCTTCAGATTCGGGGGCTTGAGCACCTGCTATGTGCCAACCATTTTCACCTACATGACACCTTTGCTGGACGTGTTTGACAGCCCAGGGTGACTGGAGGGGTATGGGAGCTCAGGTGCTGCTTTGGTTCTGCCTCCTCATGAGCTGACACTGGGCCTCTCAGTCTCCCCATCCCTAAACTGAGTGTGTATATTCACCAACCACTGGCATTTGCATTTTTTTAAGAGAGATTTTTGCTATAGGGTATGTATGCTTGCCAAGAAGACTGAGAGAGGCAGAGAAACAGCAAGAAATCACCCAACCCCCCCAGAGAGGATAGCCACACCACAATCCCTTCTCCTCCATTATTCTCCTGGGATCTTGGGCACGTACACACACAAGCCTGGCATGAGTTTAAGCCGCTGGGTCCGGGACTTGAACCGCCGTCGACTACACGGGAGTCCAGTGACATAGCCATTACACTAACTGCTGGTCCCTGGCACTTGATTTTTTTAAAAAAAGAATTATTTATTCAATTTTATTTATTATCTTTTTTTTTTTTTTTTTTTTGACCAGAGAGACAGCACAGGAAAGTAAGGAAGCAAACCATCATATCATGTCCAGGACTCAAACTGTAGTTGACCATGTGGGAGTCCAGTGCCTTAACCACCATGCCGCTTGCTGACCCTAGCATTTGATATTTTAAGAAGTTAGGACAGTGTAGGACTAGCAGATGGCATAATGGTTACATTGCTGGACTCCCATCTAGTCGACTGCAGTTAGAGTCTTGGACCCAGCAACTTAAAATTTATATATGGGCCTGTGTGTGTGCCCAAGATCCAGAAAGGAGAGTGGAGGAGAAGGGATTGTGGCATGGCCATCCTCCCTGGTAGATGATTTCTCACTCTGTCTCTTTGTCTCTCCGGTGAGGCACATAACATATGCTGTAGTAAAAAAATTTCTCTAAAAAAAAAAATAGGGCAAATGACATTTGTAGATTTCATGGGCACAAAAAGCAGAACCTTTAAGTTTAAAAGGCAATTATGGGGGACCAGCAGTTAGTGTACTGGCTGGGCGTGGACTCCCATGTAGTTGACCGCAGTTCGAGTCCCGGACCTGGTGGCTTAAACTCACGCCAGGCGCGTGTGCATGCATGCCCAAGATCCCGAGAGGAGAATGGAGGAGAAGGGATTGCAGCATAGCCATCCTCCCAGGCGGTGATTTCTTGCTTTCTCTCTGTGTTTTTGTGGGGGCACAGCGCCCCTACAGAAAAAACCCCAAAAAAAAAAAAAAAAAAAAAGTGATTATGGGGACCAGCAGATAGCTTAATGGTATGTCACTGGGACTTCTACATAGTCGACCATTGTTTGAGTCCCGGGCCCAGGGGGTTAAAATTCATACCAGGCACAAATGCATATGTACCCAAAATCCCAGGAGTTGGAGGAAAAGGGATTGCATAGTTGACTGTGGTTAGAGTCCCAGACCTGGCAGCTTAAAATTCATGCTGTGTGTGTGTGCATGTGTGCCCAAGATCCCTAGAGGAGACTGGAGGACAAGAGATTGTGGCGTGGCCAGCCCCCCGGGGGTGATTTTACACTTTCTGTCTCTCTGGTAAACGTATGCACCCTATAGCAAAAATCTCTCTTAAAAAAAAAAAAAACAAGAAAATTATTTTCTGAGAACACAGCAACTCTCTTTTAGCTTTAGATCTTTTTTTTTTTTTAATTGAGATTTTTGCTATAGGACACATGCTCTCGCTGGAGAGACAGAGAGACAGAAAGTGAGAAATCACACCCACCCTCTGGAGGGGGGAGGAATGGACATGTTGCAATCCCTTCCTCTCCACTCTCTTGGGAATTGGGGCAAGTACACACAAATGTTCAGTGTGAGTTTCAGGCCCCTGGGTCTTGGACTTGAACCACAGTTGGCCACATGGGAGTCCAGCACTTCAACCACTACACTACCTGTTGGCCCTAGATCTTGTTTTTTAAGGTATGAAGTGGTTAAGTCATACTTATAGCAACAGAATGACTACTGAATTATACTATAATATTAAAGTGTATCTTAAAAATTAAGCTAACCCTTGGGGAACTGGATGGTGGTGCAGCGGTAAAATATGACACTTTGCAAGGCTCACCCACACAGGAACGTTCTAGGTTCTTGTTCCAGAGCATTCCCTGATTATGCTGAGCACACATAGTCTGGGGGTGGATCAGTGTCAAGACCCTGTTGGGAATGTTGTTTCTCTCTCTCTCTCATGGAAGAAACAAATAAACTTTTTTGGGGGGAGTGGGGGCGATTTTCACTATAGGGCATGTGCGCTCGCCAGACAGACAGAGACATAGAGACAGAAAGCGAGAAATCACCCCCCAGGTGGGATGGTCATGCCACAATCCCTTCTCCTCCATTCTCCTCTCAGGATCTTGGGCACGCACACACACGTGCCCAGCGTGAATTTAAGCCACTGGGTCCGGGAATCGAACCACGGTCGACTACGTGGGAGTCCAGCAACATAGCCATTACGCTAACTGCTGGTCTCAAAACAAACTTTTAAAGAAGAATGAAGCTCGGGACCAGCAGTTGGCGTAATGGCTTTGTTGCTGAACTCCCATGTAGTTGACCACAGTTCGCGTCCCAGACCCGGTGCACACTGGGTGTGTGTGCACGTGTGCCCAAGATCCCGAGAGGAGAATGGAGGAGAAGGGATTGCGGCGTCGCCATCCCCCAAGGGGGTGATTTATCGCTTTCTGTCTGTCTCTGTCTTTCTGGCAAGCACATGCACCCTGTAGCAAAAACCTCTCCAAAAAATAAAGAAATAAAAAAGAAAGAAAGAAAGAAGAATGAAGCTAACAATCCTGGATATCACTGATTTAGTTGAATGTATAATTGTTTATATAGTTATGCTTTTTCATACACATAAAAACATCATGAGCTAATCATGAACTATACTACTTTGGCCTTTAAACTGGGTGGCCTAGGGAAATAACGAATTATGGCTTTTTTTGTTTTTGGTTTTTGTTTTTTTTTTCCAGTTTTCTATAGGGCACGCTGCTTGCTGAGACAGAGAGAGGGAAAGTGAGAAAACACCCCCAAGGCAGATAGCGACATCGCAATCCCTTCTGCTCTGTTCTTCCCTCAGGATTTTGGGCACACATGCACATGCACCCAGCATATTTTTCAAGCCACCGTGTCAAGAATTGAACTGTGTGGTTGGCCACGTGGGATCTAGCAGCCTTAACCACCACCTGCTGGCATAATGGCCTGTTCATTAAAAGTAGAAAGGAGGGGACCAGCAGATAGCATAACGGTGCATCACTGGACTCCCATGTAGTCAACTGCAGTTGAGTCTCAGACCCTGTGGCTTAAAACTCATGCCAGGCACATGTCTGTGTGTGCCCAAAATTCCAAGAGGAGAATGGAGAAGGGATTACAGTGTGGCCATCCTCCCTGGGGAGGCGGGTGATTTCAGCTTTCTGTCTCTGTCTCTCCAGTGAGTGCATGTGACCTACACTAAAAACCTTAAAAAAAATAAGTTAGGGGCTGGCAAGTGGCATGGTAGTTAAGGGCACTGGACTACAATTCGAGTCCCACACCTGGCAGCTTGCTTTTTTGCTTTCCCTCTCTCTCTCTCTCTCTCTCTCTCTCTCTCTCTCTTACTCTGTCCTTTTCTGGTCAAATTAAAATTAATTAGGAAACCAGCAGTTAGCATAATGGCTATGTCGCTGGACTCCCACGTAGTCGACCGCGGTTCGCATCCCGGACCCGGTGGCTTAAAACTCACGCCGGGCGCGTGTGCGTGCGTGCCCAAGATCCCGAGAGGAGAATGGAGGAGAAGGGATTGCGGCGTGACCATCCTCCCTGGGGGGTGATTTCTCGCTTTCTGTCTCTATGTCTCTCTCTGTCTGGCGAGCGCACGTGCCCTATCCAAAAAAATCTCTCCAAAAAAAAAAAAAATTAAAATTAATTAATTAATTAATTTAAGAACAGTAGAAGTGAGGTGTCTATTAGCAGTGATGCCAAGGTCCAAATAAGTTATAAGAGACCATCACCAACATATCTTGTGATGTGCCCCTGCTGGCATCTCTTTGAGGACAGAAAATTACTCCTTTTGGGGCCAGCAGGTGGTGTAGTGGTTAAGGCATTGGATTCCCACATGGCTGATTGTAGTTCCAGTCATGGACCCAGTGGCTTAAAAATCACAACAAATAAATAGATACATTAAAAAAATACATATTTAAGGAGAGGGGGAATATTACTCCCTTTTTTGGCCAGGGGGTGTTTTTCTCTCTCTCTCTTTCTCTCTAGTGAGCACATGAGCCCTATAGCAAACTAACTAACTGACTAAATAAACAAACAAAAAATAGGGCCAGCCTCATGGCCTAGTGGTTAAGGAAGCTAGACCCCACATGGCCAACTGAGCCGTTCACTTGGGCACGTGTGCATGCATACCCAAACTCCTAAGAGGAAGGAGAGATGGAGGAGAAGGGTGGCCGTGTGACCGTACCCCATGGAGGGTGCTTTCTTATTTTCTTTCTCTGTTTCTCTGTCTTTCTCTGGGTGAGCACAAATGCCATGTGGGAGTGTCCAGCATCTTAACCACCATGCCACCTGCTGGCCCGGGAGTCCAGTGCTTTTAACCGCCACACCACCTGCCGGCCCCAGCCTGGCTTGAGTTTTAAGCCTCTGGATCCAGGTACTCAAACTGCGGTTGACTACATGAGAGTCCAGCAATGAAACCATTACACCATCTGCTGGTCCAGGATAACTTTCTCTATGTATCCAATTTTGGCAGAAAACAACATTGAAGTTGTAAAGAAATACTAGCAATCAATTGTAATGATTTTGAAAACAACCACCAAATTCTTAACTTTTATACCTCCAGTGAATGTCCAGTTGGATTTGTTGTTGTTGTTGTTGTTTTTAAGGTATTGACTTTGCCACTCGTAAAATAGCCAACTTGCTGAAGCCACAGAAAGTGATTGAGCAAAATGGGGATTCTTTTACCATCCACACATACAGTAGCCTAAGAAACTACCTTGTTAAATTTAAAATTGGAGAAGAATTTGATGAAGATAACAAAGGCCTGGATAACAGAAAATGCAAGGTAAAAATTAAAGTAATAGCATAGGCTTTTAATTTTGCAAGTTTAACTTAGCATTCTCCTTAGTAAGACTTGAAGACCCTGCCAAAGCACAGAGCATTTTGTCTCTTCCCTCGCACAGAGTTTGGTTATCTGGGAAAACGACAAACTCACCTGTGTGCAGAAAGGAGAAAAGAAGAACAGAGGATGGACCCACTGGATCGAAGGAGACAAACTGTACCTGGTACCTGCCACATTCTTTTTCTTTATGAGAAAGAGGGAGGGAAGGAGAGAAGAGAGAAAGATGGAGAGAGGTTTTTTGTTTTTTTAGAGAGGTTTTGGGTTTTCGGATTTTTGTTTGTTTGTTTTTTGCTATGGGGCTCGTGCACTCATCAGACAGAGATAGAAAGTGAGAAATCACCCCCTGGGAGGGATGCCATGCTGCACTCCCTTCTCCTCCATTCTCTGCTCGGGATCTTGGGCACACACGTGCATGTGCCCGGCATGAGTTTTCAGTCTCCAGGTCCAGGACTCCAACCTCAGTTGACCATGTGGGAGTCCAGTGACAGTAACCCTCATGCCATCTGCTGATCCTAAAGGGGAGTTTTTTTTGTTTTTTTTTTTAAGAATTATTGTTGGGACCAGCAGGTGGCATGGTGGTTAAAGCGCTGGACACTCCCACATGGCTGACCATGGTTCAATGCCTGGACCTGGTGGCTTGCTTTCTCACTTTCCATCTCTTTCTCTCTCTCTCTCTCTCTCTCTCTCTCTCTCTCTCTCTCTCTCTCTCTCTCTCTCTCTCTCTCTCTCTCTCTCTCTCTCACTCTGTCCCTCTCTGGTCAATCTAAAATAAATGAATGAATAAATAAATATTAAAAAAAGAATTATTGTTATGTAATTAATTAATTTTTAACTTGACTAGAGAGGGACAGAGTGAGAGAGAGAGAGAGAGAGAAAGAGATGGAAAGTGAGAAAGCAAGCCGCCAGGTCCAGGGCCCT